TTGAAAAATCTCGGGAGCTGCTGCTTTTAACAATTTACAACTTATCTCGTCGATTCCAACAGCCTTTTTCTTAGGCATGGCATTTATTTCCTTTAATACATATTCCTCTGTCATTAATGGTATTGTGAATTCAGTAGATCTGTTAATTTTTTATTCGATGAAGGATTTAAGCCTCTGCAAGTTTGGCATAAGGTTTCCTGACACTTCTGGTATGTACTTTTCAACAATGTCTACAAAATGCTTATTAAAAAGGTTGGAGATTTGTGGATCTTGCGATTTTTCTTTTTGTGTTAAATCCTTAAGGTAGGACCATAATGCTTTGCTATTTTTCTGCTGATTTTCAATCATTGTATGGTAGTACACCTTCTTTGCTTCTTTTATCAGCCCAACAACTTCATTGCGCAATATTCTAGCCTCGTTATGAAAACCAGCTGCTTTTAATCGGTCTCGCTCATTAATAGCCTGAATGATATCAGGAGTCATCCAGTCAGGTTGTTTTGGATGTCTTACTCTTCTACTACGCATTGCTGCATGACAATCGACTATATTCATGAAAAGGCTGCTCCAAGCACTTAGTGCATCATTTGGGTTGTCAACTGTGTCCAGTACATGCCAAGCTACCTCTTTTAAATCTTCTCTAAATTTCTGTTCATTGAAGTTCTTCATGGATCTATATTTTATATGAGTATGCTGTTGCTTTTGGGAAAACTTAAGCTTCCAGACAGCACATATAGGATAATGATCGCTTATAGCTATTTTTGGTACCTTTGTCGCCCTGATACACTCTTTTCGTGAAACGTAGATATGATCTATGAGAGTACTGGTTGTCTCAGTGACTCTTGTCGGTTCTGCTATCATCTGCTCTAACTGAAATCCAACGAGTAGCTCTTTCCAAGGGTGGTATTCAATTTTATCAATGTCCTTCCAAGCAATATTCAGGTCACCCATGATAATAACTTCTTTATTTTCCGCAAACACCTTTTCTAAGCTTGCTTCAATTTTCTCAGACCAATCACGAACAGACACCCATTCTGGTCTATAACCATGACAAAGGATTTAAGATCTTGTGTTAGGGAATGCAATTTCTATCTATATAGCTTCTATGTCGTCATTTTCAAGGTCGTATCGTCTGAAGTGCTGAATTTTGTTGTTAACAAACAAGAGTAGTCCCCCATGTTCCTTTTGTGACCTGTCTCGGCGAAAAATGCTCCACCCTTTAATCTGAGCAAATCCCTCCTCATACTTCGAATTTAGCCATGTCTCACTGAGCCCTAAGATATCAACTTGAGTCCCAGGACATCGTAGTATCTCTGCAGTTTTCAGTTGGTCTATGACAGTACTTGGATACTTGGACACTTGGATACAAATCATGGGCACTTGGATAGAAGGAGTTTCCGTCTCTCTATAAGCACAAGGAATCAGTAGGATTCTGTGTGTAAATTTTTAACATGGTTATTTGTGGTGACTGGATACAACTTCCTAGATGGCATCATTTGCCATGAGCACTTGGATAGAAGGGGTTTCCGTCTCTTTATAAGCACAAGGAATCGGTAGGATTCTGTGCATAAAATTTTAACATGGTTATTTCTTCTGTCTGGGTACATCTTTCTAGGTGGCATCATATCATTTGCAATGGGCACTTGGATAGAAGGGGTTTCCGTCTCTCTGTAAGCACACAGAATAGGTAGGATTCTGTATATCAATTTATAACATGGTTATTTGTGGTGGCTGGCTACAACTTTCTAGGTGACATCATTTGCAATGGGCACTTGGATAGAAGGGGTTTCCGTCTCTCTGTAAGCACACAGAATAGGTAGGATTCTGTATATAAATTCTTAACGTGGTTATTTGTGGTGGCTGGGTACAACTTCCTAGGTGGCATTATTTGCCATGGGCATTCGTCTAGAAGGGGTTTCCGTCTTTCAATAAGTACAAGGAATAGGTAGGATTCTTTGTTTAAATTCTTAACATGGTTATTTGCTGTGGCTGGGTACAACTTCCTAGATGGCATTATTTGCCATGGGCATTCGTCTAGAAGGGGTTTCCGTCTTTCAATAAGTACAAGGAATAGGTAGGATTTCTTGTTTAAATTCTTAACATGGTTATTTGTTGTGGCTGGGTACACAACTTCCTAGATGGCATCATTTGCCATGAGCACTTGGATAGAAGGGGTTTCCGTCTCTTTATAAGCAAAAGGAATCGGTAGGATTCTGTGCATAAAATTTTAACATGGTTATTTCTTCTGTCTGGGTACAACTTCCTAGGTGGCATCGTTTGCCATGGGCAGTTGGATAGAAGGGGTTTCCGTCTCTTTATAAGCAAAAGGAATCGGTAGGATTCTGTGCATAAAATTTTAACATGGTTATTTCTTCTGTCTGGGTACAACTTCCTAGGTGACATTGTTTGCCATGGGCAGTTGGATAGAAGGGGTTTCCGTCTCTCTATAAAAACAAGGAATCGGTAGAATTCTGTGTGTTACTTGGTAATTGTTATTGTATTCAGTCACCACAAACGTGGTTATTTGTGGTGACTGGATACAACTTCCGATGTGGCATCATTTGCCGTGTGAATTTGGATAGAAGGGGTTCCCGTCTCTCTATAAGCACAAGGAATCGGTAGGATTCTGTGTATCAATTCTTAACATGGCTATTTGTGGTGGCTGGCTACAACTTTCTAGGTGGCATCATTTGCAATGGGCACTTGGATAGAAGGGGTTTCCGTCTCTCTGTAAGCACACAGAATAGGTAGGATTCTGTATATAAATTCTTAACATGGTTATTTGTGGTGGCTGGGTACAACTTCCTAGGTGGAATTATTTGCCATGGGCATTCGTCTAGAAGGGGTTTCCGTCTTTCT